CCCCAAAACCCCAAAACCCCAAAACCCCAAATAAGCTATTTCCTGTTGAAAATATTTATTTGCTAATACTTTAGCCTTGGCTGGTCCTCACGAGGAATTTTTAGAACAGAATTAGAGTCAAGAGTTTTGACTGGTGGATTTATGAACCTCGCCGTTTTATGTGGCAGAGGAGGTGGATTCAGAAGAGGATGGTGAAGAGAATACTGATGGGGAGAAGTATCAAGCTGGTGAGTAGGATACCAATGAACATTGGGAGTTTGGTGAGCCATGATCGGTTTCTGCTTCAGTTCAGCCAGATTGTGTAAGGAAGTATTGTTGCTGCGATTAGGGGAGATAGAATTAGCAGCAATATGAATAGGGTTAATATAGTTCATTTCCCCATAATTGGGTACTTGGAGTGCTCATTTCCCAATGTGCCTTGTGATATCTTTGAAGCTATCAGTGATTGGCATGCTTTGTTATTAAGAGGATTTAGGTGATTCTTCGTAAATTTTTTCCTACAATAAATGCAAAATCATTCTGTGCAATTCTGACATGTCAAATGATTTCAAATTTTTGACTTAGCCACCAAAGTATGACATTTAGGACATATCTGAATGGTTAGTTTAGAACATAGAGTTTTGTATTTTTCTTCTAATTCTGAAATATCTGGAGTGGTTTCATAGATTCCTCTGACTCCTCTCGGCCTTGCTAGAGGTTCACTAATACTATAGATTTCAACAAAAGCTACTCAATCTCTAGACTTTGGCTGCTTCCTGGCGAAGCTGGGATTTGGTCTTGGAGAATGGTTGAAATATTTTTGGAAAAGTATTTGTATCTATAATAAATACCATCTCTTACTTTTCATACTCCCCTGAGCAGACTAAATCTTGAATTGTATTGTCAAGTAGGTAACACTCTCAGTCTGGATCTGGTCACTTAAGGTCTAGGACATCCCCCTGGGAAATCCTTTCACTAATCCATGATGAAATACATTCCCTTCAGACAGAGTGGCCTCACTCAATGGGATATAGGTCTTTAGGACTCCATTTACAAATCATTCATCATTGTTCTGCTCTTTCTGAAGAATAATAAGTCTCTGTATTGATTTCATTAAGCTCAGTGAAGAAGTGTATCCATTTTGAGCACATTTCTTTGTCTCTTTTACGAATAACATTCATCTTGGACAACATCTGCTCTCTGTTAATTGGAGGAAGTTTGAAGGACTGGTTGTATGAGTTAATAATACTCGGCACATGAAGCGTCGCCATTTGGTTAGAGTTATGATTACTCCTGTTTATTATTTCAGAAACTTACTTCAAGGTCCTTTTCAGTAGATTAGTCTCTCCTGCTATAAGTATTATATAATGGACTTACCTCTTGACCTGTCATGATTGAGCGTTTTTAGTTTATGAAGCCCCAAAATTGAATGAGTGCTATGCTTTGAAGTTGCTGATTGTGGACCAAGAAGGTTGATAGATCGGGGATCATTAGAGATATTCTCCATCATATCTTGATACTTATTGTGCATCATTAACAATTCAAGGTTATAATCTGGTCCGTGTATTTCGAAAGACTGATTACAGATCGCTCAAAGTTCTTCACCGTCTATATTTTGAGAGATTCTCTCGACATTTAAGTAAGTAGACTCAGATTTATTGTCCATCAGAATTCTTCTGTTGATTTCTAAATTGATTGGGTTAACTTGATAATTCATTTCCTGTGACTGATTCAAGTGCCTTATGGACTTAAATGAAGAGTCCTCTCCAACCTTCATCTGGATAGATTTTTGATTAATATCGTCTTGACTAAATATCTGATTGTTCTCATTCAGAGCCCCAAAATTCCGTGAGTTGTTATAAGGAAACAACTTGGCCTTGCTATGGTTGAAGGTTTGAACATCACTCTTGTTTAATTTGCTTCTATCATCACTAAATACAGCTTCTGGACGGACACGGTTTCGAGAAGGACCTCTTTCCTTATTCTTTATCAGCCTCTTGTTAGAAATAAAATATGACTGTGGATGGGAGGAGAAAGTGTCACTCAGCTCCTTTCTATTCAGAATATGGGTCATTTTCGTATTATTATTTAATTATCCTGATTTCCTCATGATTATTAGACAAGATACTACATGATTATTTAACTTCCTTACTGATTAGAAATGACTGTATCATCATCTATATCAGGCCGAAGTCGAGTACTTTTCTTAGTCTTACTTCTTTGTCTTTTAGAACAGTTGACACACTTCACTGCTATTTTATGTTTGGAAACTAGAGGTGAAAATGCTGACTTACTTTTCTCAAACATATGGTCGTCAGGAGTCAAATAGTTCAATATCTCTTCAACGGATTTCAGGCTATTTATACAACATTGCTTTCTCAGGAGTTTCATCTTCAAAGCCCATTTTATGCAGTGTTATAAGGACGATTTAATAAGTTGAGGCATTTCTGTCCCTCTCTAGGCTTTTTAGATGTCAAATATACCTGACTGGATGATCTCTTGAGCAAAGAGATACTCTTTGGAGTAGAAGCAATCAGCATGCTTCACTCTTTTACTGGAAGTTTTATCTATTATTAATCAAGATTCCTTACAAAAGTTATAATTTTTATCAAAACCTTCTGAATTTCTATCAAGTTTTTGAATTTCCTTAGTGAAATCATTGATTTTCCTGCTATTTTTGTTCGAAAAATGTTGCTTAGAGGGACCCTTTTGGACGAAGTTTGATAAAAATGTTTTATTTTTGCTTAGGCACATAAGATTTAGGTGGACAGATACTTTTCTGAATCAGATTTTGATCCAAGTTTGTAGTATGACTATGCTTAAAATTCTTGTTTATTTTTAAATTTGTCTCTATATTATATCATAATGTACATTTATTGGTTTTGAAGAGGGACCATCAAAAGATCTGAAGTGATCAATCATATTCCTCTTTGATTTTCCAAGAGTATTTTTAAACAGCATTTCTTTAGATTCGTCCATTGTATTGGGAGAGTTTCCATTTCTTTTGAAATTACCTATCATGAGTAAACATTAAGAGAGTTATATCCAAGCTCCTTATAGCATAAATCTTGCCATTTTCTTTGAAATCATTTGCAAAACCCACCCAAATCATGCAAGGCTTGCCTTGCATGATTTGGGTGGAATCCTGCACATATTCGTTCAAAATTTTTAGCAAAATTTCACTCCCAGAAGGATTCTGGGAATAGAACACTGCAAATAATTTCTAGCATCTTTCTAAATTTCTCAAATTTTGCCAAATGCAAAAGTTGCGAAGAAATTTGTTAATTTCTGATTGACAAATAATATTCTTAATTTTTTAGGAATTTCTGAAGAGATTTGTACAAATTGTTATGCAGGAGAGTTACTTTTGTTGTTGGTCGTGCAGTAGTCCATGTTTTAAATTTATAGTTCAATATTTTTAAATATGAAAGGGGTTTTGGGGTTTTGGGGTTTTGGGGTTTTGGGG